TCCCCCTCCCCCTCCTCCTGACGTTATGTCCTCCTCCTCCTCCTCCTCCTCCTCCACCTCCTGACGTTATGTTTTTTACATGCTGTGAGAATACTTTTCACTCATCCTGATCCTGTTGTTTGTTTGCGTGACCAGATGAGCAGATCCACGCCCCGTTCTGGCATCCTACTCTCAAGGCCGCCGCCCGTCCGTTGTGGTTCCGGTTCATTCCCTCCGCTGCAGGTACGCTGGTGCTAGATGCCGTAGTCTCAAGTTTAGAGAGAAAATGTAGTCCAGGGGTGCCAAACTCAAATTCCCCAGGGGGATGGGGGTTGAGTCTGTGTGAGCCTGGGCAGCATCAAGCAAGCTTGTTCCACACATAAAAAGGTTTCAAGTTTCTTTTAAAAAAGTGCAACTTTGAGATCATGTTTAAAACTTGTCATGAAATACTGCCAGAAGCTGTCAAAAGTCTGAGCTGTGGTAGCTCATAAGAGAGAAAATAAAAAGTATAAAAATTCAAGGCAGCACCTTGGCAAAAAGGTTTGTGTAAGAAAAAACATGAGAGCTGCACTAACACTAAACTTTGAGGTTAAGTAAGGGCCACAGACCTCATTTGGCCAGTGGGCCATGAATTTGAGACGCCTGCTGTCTCATGTTTACTGGGAAAATCAGTGTAAAATCAAAATTAAAGCCACTTTACTTGATCTCTCTAAAAGATGTGGGTTTCAACTGAGGTACAATACGCAGTCCAACCTGCTCTAATGACCTCCTGTAAACAGGGATGCCAAATCTCTTGTTTTTCTGTGTTTTCATACACTTGAAAGGAAAGGGGAGAGATGAGAGAGATGTTTTTGTTTGCTCATTTAAAAACTTTACAAGGTTAGTTCTAGGTGAGATATGATGCTCAGCTCATTTTCAGTTGTTGTTTTTTAAAAATCATTGGCATCCCTGTGTGTAATACCAATTTGTGTTGCAAGTGCTGTTAAACACTTACTCAAACTAAACAAAATATTTTGAGGTGTGCTTATTATTATTATTATTATTATTATTATCATCATTATCATTACTACAATTATTACTTTTATTTAACCTTTAATATGTGAGACGTGCTGACAAAATTAATTTTTTCTCGCAAACCAAGAATGGAGATATTGGCCGAAAACCAACACTGGGGTCAGATTTATTGAATTTTAATCTGGGCCATTTTCTTCAAGTCTGCCGTGTCTTTAATTATTCCATACTTAAAAATTGGACCAACTCCACCTATAAAGTTGAGGCATTCATTTCCATTTAAAGGCTAAAATCCGAGAAGTAACTCATTTTGTCTGCACACCTCTCATATTATCATTTAACTTTTATAATTATCAATTACCTTTTATTCATAAAAGCCTTTTAAGTTGATATTGTTCCTTTTTCACAACACTACTGGCATGTGATGTAACAGTAATGCTCTTCTCCATTACTGGCAAACTTAGAAGAAGTGAATTCAGCATCTGAGTGGGAAAGTCATTTTGTGGAATATTTTGTCTATCTGTCGGGATGTTGTATCCGACTCAGCCCAGAGCGGCCCTGACAGATGGGTTCGAAGCAGCCCACCTCCTAAATAATTGAGATCGTGTCAGTTGGGGGATAAAGCATTTACAGTTACTTGTCAGTCATTTTGTTGCCTTATTTCACCTATAATATTCATGAAGACTTTGTAAGGTTGTGCAATGAAAATTATCCGAGACGGCCACCCATTGTAGAGGAGAAAAGTCTTGGACAGATGGACATTTTGGACAGTTTCATTATGATTCAGAAAAATCACAAAGGGGAGAAGTGGGAAATGGCCGTTTGTACAGGTGATTGTTTCACAGAGGGGAGAAGTGGGAAATGGCTGTTTGTACAGGTGATTGCCTTGGACAGGGTGGTCCTTCGAGCGGGTTTGACTGTATCGTTGTTTCCCCTCAGCTGTGTCGTACAATTTTGCCGTGGACCAGTACGTGCCCTGGGTGTCCAGATTGGGAGCTCAGCCGCCTTTCCCTGAGCCTGAGGCGACATCTGGTGGCGTGGGCCGGCCTCACGGTCACTCCAGTGGCTCGTCTCGAGCGTCCAGCTCAAGGACAGAGAGTGTTCGCTCGTCCAGGGCAAGGTCAGACGGAAGTCAAGGTAAATGTGAGAAATGGGAACACGTAGCTGCCAAACATTAATAATGCATTTTTGAAGGTCTAAATGTGGAAGTCTGTTTTCATGTTAGAAAATACATACAGTCTAACACACACATATAATGAATGTACATAGCAAAACATGCTCATGGCAAACAGGTTTTCGATGGGTGGTTGGCGGCTGCTCTGATGTGGTTTGTCCCTTCTTTGCTATCAGACAATTATCGTTCTTATCTCTCCCCTTTCTTTTCTGTGTTTGTTACTCTCTTGTAACACCTCTAATCTTTGGCACTCATATGACCTATTTGTGTAGCAAGTATGGTAAAAGTCTTACTTTAACCACAGAATAAAATCTGTCTGTTTTGCTTTTTTCTTTCCCTAGTAACAGTTATTGCGTTGATGTGCTCCTTTTTACTTAAAGAAAATAAACAGACGATTGAAGGAGGTGGGGGTCACCTGTTATCAGCGGTAAAATCAACAAGAAAATAGCCACCAAAGTGTGGCGACTTAAATATCCTTGAAAATTGCACACTTACAATTGTTGTATCTTTGATCAACATTTTTTCAGTAAAATCTATACCGCTTAATGGACATAAAAAGTCTTAAGCCAGTAAAAGAACATTTTTTAAAGATGGTTAAACGGACAAAAAAATGACGGGTTTCTCTGGTTTCATTATTTTGACAAGCACTTGATTTCACCACAATGCCTCATAATTATAGGTTGAGTGTTTGAACCTACACCAATCACCAGTATGAAACCCCCCACCAGGGCAATGCTACTAAATGAAGATGTGTTTAGGCCTTTCCTAAAGGAGGGATATGAACATGTTCTAATGCACAGTGGAATTGTAATTGGGCTGATTTATCAATATCATGCTCATACCGTGCCGGAACAACATGGGAGGAACTGCTGCTTTTTCTTTCCTCATCTTTACCATCGTCATTTTCCCTCTACTTCTTTTGTATGTTTGTCACTCTCTTGTGAACAGCTATTTCTGGGGTGCCTTGATAGTCAAGGCAGACTTTGTGTTGTTGAGGCTAGAGAGGTGAGCAGAATAAGCCTGATTCCCTATTTGGACTTCTCTGTTGACATCCTCCCCATGGCGCTCATATGACCTTATGCAGTTGCGAGCGTCGTAAAGCCTTACTAAAACTAAAAAAACTAAACCAAATGATATTCCACAGACGAAGAGAAAAGAGCTCCGAGCCCAGCTGTGAATAGTAAGAAGTCCGCTCTCTCCTCCAGCAACACCAAAAAGAAATCATGATGACGAAGATGCCTTTGCAAGGACATGGTGATAAGTTCACTGCTATGGATGTGAACGCTTCGCCTTAGATTTGTTTGGGGTTTTTTTCCTTCGTCCGAATCATCTTAGGTCTGTTTGAATAGATCTGGTGTTTTCTAGCTTCCTGTGTCACTTCAGCCGACAAAGCTTTACTGTATGCCTGGAGCTGATGATGTTACTGTGCTTGTTTTGTTTTTTTGTGTTTTTTTAATTGTCACCTGCTGCCATTCACGACACTTCATGTCATTAAATTGTTCAAGTATTATTACTTTGTTAACTTACAATGTACATATATTAATGTCAATATAATACCATGCCATATCTTTTTTTACTCACTTGTAAACATGTTTTCTTTTACTTCTGTGATACGTAATGAAGATTTGAAATTCAGGCAATATCTTGTAAACTTCTGGTAGATCTCAGTCGTGTCATTGGGGAAGATATGATTTTTACAGACATTCTTCTTACATGGTACGGGATCCAGTGTCGTTATTTTTTTTTATGTACTTCAGACACTTGAAAGATGTTTAGCTTTCTGGATCTTAAGTCCTTTTCTTTCTCCATCAGCAGGTAGATCTGAGAATTGATTTCAATTAGTGTATTTGTTACTTAAGAGTTGTACTTACTGTTGCTTGGCTACACCAAACGAGCTTCTATGGTGCAGCGGTTAGGGGCTTTGCTGTAGCACACAGGAGACCAGAGTTCATTTCCTCTGAGTTGGGAGAATTATTATCGAGTATCTGGATCTTTCTGCTGGGATGTTGTATTCCCCAAAGCCTGGTTGCCCCTAACGGGCCAGGTCAAAGCCTACCTCGTAAATGATCTGAATTATGTAGATGAGGCCGTAAAAACACCTGCATCGAAAAAATAATAATGAAAAAAAACAACAACAAAACTGCACTGTCTTTTCATTTTTGTATACCTACCAGTGATTCTTTTCCCGTCCTTGTTGATAGTGAAGTCATTTCAATTTTCATGGGAATGTGAAGCTTCGTGTGTGTCTGGAAGTTGGGACAAAAGTAGAAAGGGAGATACAGGTGGGAAGAGAGAGAGCGAGAGAGAGAGAGAGAGAGAGAGAGAGATATGGAGGGGGAGTGAATGAAAGAGAGAAAGGAAAGGAGCGCAAGAGAATGGAAGCCACTTATCATGGTGCAAAAGGAAAAAGGAAGAGAGAAAGACCACACTTGGAATGTTTCACTTAATACATTGTTTTTAATAGATCTTGCAATGGATGGATCTAAATAGGTTTCTGGCATTCTGTGTTCTTTGCTGAGTTGAAATGTTTATATTTGTGACAAAAATTTATGACAATCTACATTTATACGTTATATCTACTTTAACTTATATGAATTGTTCAGATGTATTTATACATCTCTGTAATTTAAGGAAAGAGAGAAGGAAACAAATCTTGATCAACCTGCAGTGGCCAGGTATATCACACCCCATTTTTCTTTAAAACTGTAAAATCTTTGTAAACACTTTGCAGTCACACAGCCAGCAGTACAAAATACCGCGTCTGGTCACCTAGCCAGGAGAGTGACTGCAACGGACTTCTTGGGCTACTGCGCCAGATGACCGGAATGGATAGTTTTCACCGGCGCCTTATTGTGCCAAGAGACTGCAAAGTGTTAATGATCAAAAGTTTATTAAAAGATATTTACATATATCTGAAAATGCTACTTCTGACTTTTAAGTTAAGAGGAGAAATATAAAATCAGAAATTTACGGGACTCTTTTGTGTAGGTGAATTTTTTTTATCAGACAGCACGCCGGCAAGCTGTTCAAATGTCTTAAGCCCTGAAAGAAAAATTTTGCACGAGAGAGGAAAAAAAGGTATTTCAGTACCTTTACAAATTCTATCTACATTATGTATCTTTTCCTTTCTTGTTTTTTTCATCATTTCCCAGAACCCAAAATTTTTCAGGACAGATGAAATAAACTTTCAAACCCTTTACAAATCAGATCTTATACCTTCGTTATGCATTTTTTTTTTTTCAATATTTTGAAATTGAATTTCGATTAAATATTTCATAAGTATATATAACCGCTAACACAGGTTAAGGAGCTACAATTCATTTGTGAGGCATCAAGATGAAATCTAGCACTCATCAAAATAATGAAATCGAAGAAACTGGCCTTTTTCTGTCTGTTTAGCAATTTTTATCTAACATTTATTTTTTGACTCAACACCTTTAAGGTCCATTTAAAAACACATTTCTGTGTGGATTTTACTGAAAAAATGTTGATTAAAAGGACAAAAATGTAAATTTGCAGTTTCTAAGGACTCTCAAGCTTTGGAAGTAGCCAAACTTTGGCGGCCATTTTCTGGCTTATTTCACCTAAAAAAACTGGACGACCCTATCCCTTTCAATCGCAAATGTCTAGACTTCTGTTCAGGATAGATCAGTTGGTTTTTTTTTTACAGAAAGCAAGGCAGTGTGTCACAATACGGTGGAATCAGGCGCTCATCAATTTTTGGACATGTGGAGTTAATTGTATCATTTTAAAGGTTGTTTATTTGCCTTGCTCTTGATGACAAATGTACACATCTATCTTGAATATGTTTCGAGATATTTGTGTTTGGAGGAGATGGGAGCGCCTGGTTTCAAAGGTAAAATAACTGAGAAAATGGCCTTCAAAGTTTGGTGATTTCCAAAGCTTGTGTGTCTTTGGAAACTGCAAATTCACATTTTTCACGCCTTTGATCAAGGTTTAAAAAAAAAATACACAGGAATGTGTTTTAAAATGGAAGTTAAAGGTGTTGAGCCAAAGAATAAAAATTAGAGAAAAATTGGCAAACCCTCGGGAAAATGCTGGTGTCCTCAATTCCATTATTTTGATGTGCACCTGATTTCACCATGACGTCTCACAACTTCTCGTTCAAAATTCAGGGCTATAGTCAATGGTCTGAACAGCTGGAGGACAGGTTGCTGTTATGTTTGTTTCTTACGGTTTCCAAACCTCAGGCTCATGTTGTTTACAATCTGACCATTCACCAATGCCTGCACTTGCTGCCATCACAGTTTGGTTTTTCGGCTTCTACTCATGTCTAAATGGAATAATAAAGTTACACGTTTGAGTAATTAATTGAGTTGTTATGATTTTTAAATATTTTTCATGATGTCTCTATGTGGGTTGTTTGAGTGTGCTCTTGTGTAGTTTGCTCCTTCTTTCCTATCAAACATCTATCATCTTTATCTCTCCTCCTTTTTTTCTTTGTTATTTTTTGGTAACTCTTCTAATCTTCGGAACTTGTACGACCAATTTGTGTTGCAAGTGCTTTAACAAATCTGATTCTATTTGGGTGTTCTCTTTTTCTTTAATTTTCGCAAGATTACAAGAAAATGACTTATGTGCTTGTTCGGTCACGCTGACAATAATTATCTCACTGTTGCGGAAATGGAACTGACAATAAGTATAATATACCTATATACCAGAGGCGAGCACAGACTTATAAAGTATTAAAATGTCCTTTTAGCTTTTGTCTCGAGTTTTACGGCTCTTGCAACACAATTAGGTCATAGGAGTGCCAATGTAATATCCTAATTTTTGTGCTCCGTGATGCATTTTCGTTTCATTGCGGAGCTCACCATTTGTTCTCAGCAAAGGAAGGGCGAGTGGGGAAAGGTGCTGTCGGTAATAGCGAGATTGGCGTTTTGCCTTTCATTCGAGTGTAAAGGATCATGGTGATTACACTTTACAGCAAAGTATAGAGAAGGAAGAGTGGCGGCCGTACCACTGGTTCAACTGATCCTATGTGCATCATGTACACAAATTAACGTTTGTACTGTGTGCATACATCACTAGCGCAAATAATCCTATGTACATGTATGTACATTACTAGCACAAACGATCCTATGTACATGTACACAAATATTGTCGTATGCATTATGTTCATGTACATGCACATCAATGCCACAAATTGTCATATTATGTACTATGTACATGCACATCAAAGCTGCAAATAATCATATGTGGTAAGCAAAATTGTAGCTTTCTCTATACAGAAACAACAATATAAAAAAAAGAAAATAGTATAATTTATTCTCTCTTTTTCCAAAAATAACAATGGCATTCATTTTTAAAAAACGTATAAACACACATATTTGTATAATATAAGTCTTGCTCCGAGCAAAGCTGAGGATTTTCAGCTCAAATGTGAAGTCAGTCTTGTTGTATGGATGTGGAATGCATCTCGCAGACTTGCATTAAGAGGATCCAGGTTTTCTTGAACAAGTGGCTTAGAAAGTTCCTCAGGATCAGATGGACAGGCAAGGTCATAAACGAGAAAGTGATAAGGAGAACAAGACAGATCTAAGTCAGAGATGAAGTGGGAATAAGGTAATGGATAAGAACACTCTCAGGAAGCCAGGCGGGTGCATAACAAAGACTGTGTCGGGTTGGAATCCACATTGTAAGAGATCAAGGGAAAGATAAGTGGAACAAGGAGAAGAGTCACAGAGAATGTAGGACAGAAACGTGGGAAGACATGGAATATATCAAGAGGCTAGCCCTGGGTAGGGAAAGATGGAATATGTTTATTTGTGGCCCATACCCTGATGCAGGGTAAGAAAGGAAAAGATGGTGATGAGGATAATGATGATGATGAGTGTCTTTGAAAACTGCGAATTCATATTTTTCGCCCCTTGATCACCGTTTTTTGTTTTTTTTACCAAGTCTCAACCTTTTTTTAATTCTCTGCTGTATACAATGATGATGATGATGATAATGGGATGACATTATAAATAATAATATAAATATACAAAACAATCTTTTCGTACATACAAAGTAAATCATAGACATAACAAATTTTTTAAAAGTAATAATTCCATGCTGGTCACCACAAGAAGTTGTTAATTTATTCTGTGATTTTTGTGTGATTTGACCTTGATTAGTTTTCTTGTACAAATTGTCTTCACGACTTAACCGACAAGTGCATTGTACTTCTTCGTGCCTTCAGTGGGTAGGTTCAAGGTCATGGGCTACACCTGCATCAGTGACATATCTCTGTTCGGTAACGGGTACTTGTTGTAAGCAACATGCTGACAAGTACATGTAACGAGAAAAGCACAGAGAAAATTGCTTAGTGTCGCGTAACCTTAGTCGCTGTTATAATTGCTTGTTTTTATAAGGTTTTACAGCGCTCGCAACTGCATAAGGTCAAATGAGCGCCAAGGGGTGGATGTCAACAGAGAAATCCAAACGGGGAATCACGATTACTCTGCTCACCTCTAAAGCCTCAACAGCATAAAGTCTTGTTATTGTTTAAAATATAGTTTTAAATCGTGTCTCGATAACCAGAGTTCACTTTGGATCATTGGAGGTATAACATTATTACGTTCTGAGTTCAGAGAGGAATTTTACAGAAAATAGTCATGAAATAAAATAAAGATTGTACAATACAAGTACCATGATAATATGTCTCAATACCGATAGCTGTGTGCAATATTACGACAAATCGCTACCTTGGAAGTACAAATTTTAAGTTTTATCGGTCATTTTTGGCTGTTTTGATTTACTTGGGTCAAAAAACAAATGTTCTATCTGTTCTTTCAAAATCATAAGGTTTTTCGGAGTCATTATCAAGATATTCGAAAAATTGCATTAAAAAAGTTATCTTGATAATACATTGTCACGTTGTGAAGCTCAAAATTTTTCAAGCAAAGTAGTCCACGCTAATGGTGTCGCCTAGCTGTTCCTGGAAGCGCCTGGATGCGCTGAAATCTCTGGTCGAAGCTCCTATCGACCGTCTTGGACGATAGCTCCCACTTTGACCTCTGCCCCCTAGCCTTGACCCCTCAGAGGGTGTCGCAGGGGAGGCGGGGAGGTCATCGGCTCTCGTTGGCCGTGGGGGAACCTTTGAACAGACAAAAGGATTGAAAAAAGAACACGGTTCTAGATTAACGCCAGATCGAAGATCACATTTTAATCTGTAACTTTGAAATTAGATAAGCTTTTAAACCATGCAATCTGAACGTTGTGATGCAAAGCGTCAAAACGAAGATAAATTAATGGGGATCTTAAATTTTTTGGGGGGACTAAAAAGTAATTAATGTGTTTCACGCTTAAAGGGGGGGGGGGTCCCCACAAGCGAGCTAACTCCTTTATTTCTGGACCTAGAAACCTTAAATTTGGCATACAACTTCGTCATGATACAGGTATTACAATGAAAAAAAAACTTTCCCGGATCCAAGATGGCCGCCATTTTTATGGCGGCCATATTGGATTTTCACATCATGTTTTCAAATCGATATTCCTCTGAAATTTACCGATGGATTTTATTGTCCTTTGGCACACATGTATCCAAGAGGCATATAAGTTAAATATAGTCAGCATCTTTCGATATCTTATTTCGTTTCGGAGTTACAGGAAGAAGCGTGCAAATCTTGTCAAAAATGCAGAAAACGGTCAATTTTCCAACTTTTTAAAATCATAAAATGAAAACCAAGCTGGATATTTTAAAAAATGCTGACAATGTAATGTAACCACCCTAAGGGCAACAAGTATGCCAAGTGCCATCAAGATACACCTGTAATCTTCAGAGGAGTTTCGAAAAATGTGTCAAAAATTTAAAAATCAAATATTTTGACAAAAAATGAGATACCTCTCTAATTAGTGAAGATAGAATAACAATGTAATAAGAAAAAATGTTGGGCATCCAACTAACTACGATTGTGCCAAAGGACAATCAAATCAACAGAGAAATGACTGAGAAAAGGCAAAAAATATTGTAATACCCAATTTGACCCAGATTGACCGAAAATAGGTGGGA